TGCAGCAGTCGTCAACGGCCAGGGCGGCGCGGCCTTGATTGGCGGCGCCAACCCCACCATGGTCTCCAGCAGCCCTCCTGCCAACGCTGGGGCGGCCACGAACCAGGCCACGGCCTCTTTTGCGCAGCAGCAGCAGTGGGCGCAGCAGGCCGTGGGCGGTGTTCAGCAGCAGCAGCAGTGGGCGCAGCAGATGATGGACGCCACGCCGCAGATGCAGCAGTGGCAGCAGACGCAGCAGCAGCGGCAGAATGCCGCCGCTGCTGCCGCAGCCGCCAAGCTTGCCGGCTAGGGGAGTGAGCAGGGCCTGCACAAGGGTTCTCCCGCCCCCGCACATCGCCCGTCAACCCGGCGACGGCGTTGTGCGACGTGCTTGCAAGCACGGCAGGAGTAGCAGCTAGCCGCAGTGGCGCAGCATCTGAACAAATGATCCCACTCAGCCTTGTGGATGTGAAAATACAGCTTCTTGCCTTGCACCATCGATTTGTTTCGTCCGATGTCTTGCACAGCCCCCTGCTGTTCTGGCTGCAACAGGCCGCTCATACACTGTGCCGCATAGCTTTGCCCTGAGCAGCATGTCCACCCAACCGCTTGGCAGGCGGCTGCAAAACGCCGCACCTCCTTGCGAAAGCAAGCGTTATTCCTGCAATCCTGCGTGCCCGTCATGTGAAGCTTGGCCCCTGCAAAAGCAGCACCTGCCTGCTGTCGGGGCATGCTTTGAAGCTGCCGCCGGCACGTGATACTCTCCAGGCTGTAAACAATCTGCCATGGCAATTCTAGACATCGGATGTTATGATGAATCTCTTAGCATGCTAGGCTCACCTTCCGTCTGATAGTCAAGTATCTGGAACTCATAACCGCAACTGGGGACCCTTGTTATTAAGCAGCTCGGTCTGACCAGTAGCGGCACAATATACCAGAGCCTCCTCGTGCTGCTGCTGTCGCTGCTGCTCCTGCTGCTGCTGCTGCTGCTGCTGCTGCTGCTGCTGCTGCTGCTGCTGCTGCTGCTGCTGCTGCTGCTGCGACGGCAGCGGCGGTGGCGGCTGCTGCGGCTGCCAGATAGACGCCATTACCATCACTTCTGCCATTGCCTCTGCAGCCACCACATGCGACACTGTTGCCACTGTTTTGGCTGCCTGCGCACCTGCTGTTGCCGCCGTTTTGACTCTGCCGCGTCTGGAAGCACCCACCCACCTTCTCTGTCTGGCAGCTCGCCTGCTGCGTTCCTTGCTGCGCGCGAATTAGCGGCACAGGGCGCAGGGTGCAACAGGCCCACGTAATTTGCGCGCGAAGTCGCCTGCGAAGCGAAAGGGAGTGTCCGCATATATAGGTTAAAGCGTCACGCACAGAAGCCGCGCGCACCCCAACAGCCGCACAGCCACAAACAGCTGGGATCGTCCACGCGCAGTAGATGGCGCGCAGGATAAGCTGAAACGACACTGCAGACAACGCCAAACCACGCCCTCAAAGCTCGCCTCCACCACTGCTGATCACCCAGCCCCTCCCCCCGCCCGCCTCGGCGCAAGAACGCCAGCGCACCTGCAGGTGTCCACAAACCAGCAGAAACTGGCGCATGATCCCGATGGGCAGACCCTCCTGCGGGTGCCCTGGCCGGCCGCCCCAACAGCAGCGTCTTTGGCGAGCTGGCAGGACTGCAACACCCTGCACACGCGACGGGCGATACATCACCCACGTGAGCACATCCCTGCAGGAGGCAGCATCGCGCCCAACACAATCCGACCGCCCCCAGCTCACCATCGACGAAACCAAAAGCGCACGACCGGCACAAAAAACCCGCAGCGCCCTCGCTCGACACGCGCGAACTCACCCGTCTGTTAGCTGCGCGGCGCGCAGGTCAGCCCTGCTCTGCAAAGCCGCCGGCAACTCGGCAAGCAAGCTGCCCCGCCATGGCCATGTCGTCCACCTGCACCGCCGCCGCCACCGCGGCGGCGATCTGTCCGAACGCTGCTTGCCGCCCCGGCCCAAGGGCGACGCCCACCTCTCGCGCGTGCTCCTGGGCGCGTGGCAGCACCTGCAGGCGGTCCCTGATAATGGCAGATGCGTCATCGCGGCCAGTCAGCACCGGCTGCGACGTATCCAACGTCCCGACAGCGCTCATTGCCAGCACCGCGGCCTCGCGTTCCTCTCCTTCATTGCTGTACAAACCGAACATGGCTGTTGTTGTGGTGAGCTCGCATGAGAATAGACGCAAATGACGGTTGCTGTGAATCGGTCACAGTGGCGTGCAACAGTTGCAGCAGCGTGCGAAGCGTGACATGCGCGCGCTGGCAGGTGGAGGGCCAGCGTCGTCCGAGGCAGCAGTGTCAATGACCACCCTGCGTTGACGTGCTTTGTCGGTGCCACATGTGTGCAGTTAGATCCAACGCGGCAACTTGGCAAAACTTTTTTGGCAACGCATGCAAAGGAAAGCAATCAGCCGAGATGCAGACATGATCTTGTGGTTTGCAGTTGATGACATGAACGCGATGCTGTTCAGGCTGCCATTGGATGCTGACAAAACGACATACTGATTCTTTGATGTAGATGCTATAGTTGTACACGAGCTCAACCCTGCCTCGTCAGGTCTCGCTACCGACGGTACTCTCGGACTGCACTCCACCGCGATGAGCGCGTTAGAGCTCTCTGTCCGTGAATTCATTGGGAAATTGAACGGTCGACATCCCTCAGGAAAGTTGTTCGGGATGGAGCTTGAGCTGGCAGTGAGCCGCCTCGAACTGAACGCCTGCAAGGACCGCGCGCCGATCGCCCCCGGCCTCCTTCGAGCGCTCGCAACCGGCGTGCACGGCGCCCGCCCGGTGCAGCTGCACGCCTCGCTCGAGGCGCTGAGCCGCCTGGCGTCATGGGGGCTCGAGGAGAGGAAGCTGCAGATCGCGCGGGAAGATGCGGTGATGCGGCCTGTCGTCTGCCTGATGGGCAGCGCGAACCCCGAGACCGCCTGGCGCGCAGCCGCGGTAATTAACCAAATCGCCCGCAGCACCGTAGGCGTGACGCGGCCCGCGGCGGAGGCGCTCGCGGCGCGCGCACATGACCTGCTGCCGCTCCTTACCGCCGGCATGCTGCGCGGCAGCGCGGCCGGGCGGGCGGCGCCGCCGCTGCCACAGCCGCCGCCGCCCGCCCGCCGCGGGGATGCCGGCCGCCGCAGCGATGCCCAGGCAGCGCCGTCGGCGGAGGCAAAGCTTGCCGCCGAGTGCTTAGGCATAGCCTGGGCCTTTGCATGGTGTGACTCGCCCACCCTAGACCGCCTCCTGGTGTCCCAGCCGACGCTCATCGCCGCCGCCACGCGCCTGCTGGGCTGCACAGACGCGCGCACTTCATGGACCGCGGCCATGTTGCTCGGGCGGCTCTGTTTGGAGTCTGCACCTGTGGTGTTCGCCTCCGCCGCCTCCGCCGGCCTGCCGGCCGCGGCGGCGCAGCTGCTGGGCAGCGCCTGCGCAGGCGACGTGGGTGAGGTGCTGGCGGCGGCGGCGGCAGCGCCCGAGCCCGAGGCCACTGATGAGTGTGCCGGGGTCATGTGGGGAGTGCACCTGATCGATTTTCTCGTCGAAGGCGACGAGCGTGGCGAGGCGGCGCGCCGCCTGGGGGACGAGGCGCCGGCGCTCGCGCCGCTCCTGGCGCACATCTTGGTCGCCGCCGCGCGGCGCTTGGCGCTTGTGGATTCAGTTTCCCTCGTGGAGGAGGGGCGGGGCGGCAAAGCCGTCGCAGCCGGCGGCGCCGCTGACGGAGCCGGCGACGCGGCGGCGGGCCCGCCGGCCGCTCTCACCCGCCGGCTGGCACGCCGCAGGCAGCGCCGCGACAAAGGGCTCGGGGCCGACCAACGCGGCGGCAGCGGCGGCGCCGCGGCACCCGGCTCGCCTGCGAGCGAGCCGACGAGCCAGGAGCTCCTCCGCGGCGGCGAGGGCAGGGGCGAGTGCGAGGGCAGCGGCCGCGGCAAGGGTGGGGGCAGGGGCGCGGAGGAGGGACCCACCGCGCTCAGTCTAGTGATACCAAGCGCGGCCAAGGCGCTGGACGCTCTCCTTGAAAGCAGCCCCGCCGCCGCGGCCGCCCTGCTGGCGCGCCCAGACCTTGTGTCCGAGGTTGGGCGGCTGCGCCTCGGTCACGCGCTGTGCCTTGGGCGCCTCTGTGAGGCACTCCTCGGCAGGGGCAGCGGCGCCGCCGGTGACGGCGGCGGCGACGGCGGCAGCGAGGGCGACGGGGTCACGGCCGCGGGCGAGCACGCGCGCCAGCTGGAGGCCCTCACAACGGCGACCGCGATCTGCCTCCGCTCGAGGTTCCTTGATGCGCCTCGCGATCTGAACGACGATCTGACGTCTGATCGGCAGGCGGCCAATGCAGAGGGTCACGAGCGCGCCGCGCCGGCCGATGGCAGGGGGATGCTTATGGACGACGCGGCGCGCGCGCTGCGCCTCCTGCTGCCCGCCGCGGCGGGCGGCGCCTGCAGCGCTGAGGCAGCCGCGGAGCTCGTCAATGCGGGCACAGCTGTGCTGGCCGGGACCTTTGCGGCTACGGCATACACACTGGCCTGTTGCGACGAACCCTCGCTGAGAGGCGTGGACAGCGGCGGCGCACGCGACGTCCGCGGCGAGCGCGGCGCCGGTGCAGACGCGGCCGCCGCCTCGCGCCCTGGCAGCCGCCTGCAGCCGGGGTGCCTCGACAAGTTGGCGACGAGCGCAAGGGCTGTGGTGGCGTCGGCCCTGCGGGGCTGCTGCACAACACCGCCGACGCCGCAGCTTCGGCCGGCGAGGAGCGGTCCGCGGACGGGCCGGCGCCGGGCGCCGCGACACTGCAGGCAGCGCTCAGGTGCGCCAGGGTAGTGCTTGCCCGGGAGGATGCCATGCACTCGCTCTGGGGCAATCCAGCCGCCGGGGACGCGCGGCCCGGCTGCGACGTCGGCGCAGCGGCGACCGCGCAGGGAGACGGTGCAGTGCAACCGCAGCAGCAGCAGCAGCAGCAGCAGCAGCAGCAGCAGCAGCAGCAGCAGCAGCAGCAGCAGCAGCAGCAGCAGCAGCAGCCGCCGCTGCCAGAGAAGCGGCGCCCATCATCGGCCCACGCTGGGACCATCGATGATAGGGCTCCAATGCGAGATCAGGGGCCAAGCCGGCCCAAGCATGAGCCTCATGCGCCCGCGGAGCAGCAGGACAAGCCGAAGGCGGCGGCGGCGGCAGGGGACGACGCCTGCGGGCAAGCTGCCACGTCTCTGCTTCCCTGCGACCACGGGATGGGCCGTAGCGAACCGCTGGAGCCCGCGGCAACCCTCGAGCAGCGGCTCGCGCGCTACCAAGCTGCCCGGCGGCGGCCGCGCGAGGTGGAGCGGCCGTCAGAGCTGCAGCTCTGGGCGGAGCGGATGCAGTCTGCAAAGCTTGAGGCTGAGGCGGAGGGGGGCGGGGCGGAGGGGGCGGACTGGTGGCCGGCCCTGTCCAAGGTTGTCGAGCTGCCAGCGCCGCGCGGCGTTTGGTCGCGAGGCTCGGCCACATGTAAGCATCCTTAGACCAGCGTGCTTTGCCCCAACTGATGCTGTGTTTCTGTGGTGCTGTGGCGCTGTAAATCCCATAAGGCAGCTGCCAACGATGACGGGGAAGTTACAGGGGGGCAGCAGCCGCGCGCCACGAAACGCACTTCTGCAGTGCCATCGCTATGGTGTGGCGGGACAAAAACAGCGCCTGCTGGGAGCGAGTGCGCTGGTGCTGGCGTGTACAATACAGGGGTGCTGGGGGCCGCATGGATAGGGTTCAGATACAGCAGGGGGCAGCGGCGGCAACAAGCCAATACACAGATGGGCAGTGCAAAAAACGCGACGCAAGCCTACCAGGCAACAGCTACCTGCCCAAAGCCATGCGCCCGCCATGCAGACAGGCTCGACGCCTCAGCTGCGGCCGCGGCCGCGGCCGCCGCGTTGCAAGCAGGCAGCCGAGGGCCGGCCTGCGCGCAGAGGCCGTCCAATGGAGCGGAGTGCCGGCGCCAGCGCGAATGGCATCACACGATGAACGCGCGCCGCAGCTCGTCGACGCCGTACGTGGCGCCCGTCTTGGGGCACGCCAGCCGCCCGCCGCCGTGCTGCGCCGCCAGCTGCTCTATGGCGCGGCGGCTGTAGACGTAGCCGTTCGGCAGCACCATGGGCGGATTGGCGTCACTCATGACCTCGCGGGTGACGGCGCACACCAGGGTGCTGTGCACGTGCTTGGCGTGCGGGAGGCCCTGGGGGTGGGTTGGGG